CAAGAGGAAATGTGACTTGGTGTAAACTCATCTATTCATAGGAAAATTCTTTACTTCTACTCGAAAGTTGCGATGAGCGAGGTAATGAGTATTTAAATCATTCTTTACTACTGATGGTGAAACTACTGATGGCACTTAAAATCCCCATTCATTCTTATGGCCCTCAACTAACGAGCACACCCCATCTTTCCACTTGCACATAGTTCCATTTAGCATAAATACTTCCTATTAGTTGAATATAGACTGATTTAGTGGCTAGACGTCATTCTTGCGAATGGTTCAAACCAAAACAATGAATGATAACCTCATACCTAAATTCTGTGTGATATTAGTGTGTTAAGTAGTTGATTAAAATTGTGTCATCAACAAGTCATAAATCCATTTGGTCACAAGAAAATCAGACGCACTCTCACCCCAGTGCGACTACGACAAGGTTATGCGTCTGTTTACAATTGAACCATCGAAACTGCGATGACTTAGTCATTAAAGCAGTCTATTATTAGGGATTTTTTTATAAAATTTTCAGAGGTCATTTTTAAAAATGCAAAGAGAGCTCACAAAGAATTCTGTTCAATGACAGTGATAATTGGACGCATTTCTGTCAAACGGAACTATGTGCATTATGACATGAGCCCTGCTACGCATATATTCTCATCAGTCCCAGGGCTCATGCCTTGATGCACATAGTTCCGTTTGGTAGAAATACGTCCAATTGGTCCTTCAATAAAGTTGGTAAAATGTAACAGAAATGGTGCTGCATCGCAAATAGAGATTCTTAGCTTAGATGTTTCACCACTGATACACTTCCGTCTATTTTTCTTCCCTGTGTGAAGGACATTCTATGAAAAGTTGAAGCTATGATGTTGATTTGGTTTCCTTTTAAAACATGTAGTGAATTTGAATCACTGCAAGCAAGGTACACGCTTTTGCTGTTTCTACATGGATACGCTGCTTATCGACAATGAAACTCTCAAATCATCAATTTTTTCTGGTGTTTTAAATTCCCAGCTCCCATTTATTGTTTTGAAAAAGAACAAATCATCATCATTCCTCGGAAGTTATTACAGGATCTTCAACACACGGAAGAGGAAAATTATGAAAGTCTTTAAGATTTGACGTTGAGTAGTTTTTCTCTTAAAAATTGAGTAAGTATGACAGGAAGTCTGTATCGTCGCAAACCTAGATATCAATGTTGGTTGAGAGTTGCACCAGCGTTACATGCTTGATCATTTTATTAGGCACTGCCTTTACATCTTTGACTATCTAATGACAGTAACTATGACTAACATTTTGGATAGTAATTCTACTATCTTATCTAAAACCTGTTTGAGATTTTTCCAGATTATATACCATGATTTAGTTTCCTTCTTTTGAAAATGTTAAAACGCTGTCTAAAATTAATGTTTAGAATTGTGTTTTTTTATTCCTCCAGGTTGATAATTTTTTCTTTTTCTAATTTCAGGCCTAGACCATGGAGTATGAAGGAAGCTGGCCAAAGGATGCTCCATTATAAGATTTTTAGGAAAACCTACTGGGACGATGACAACCTGCAGTCCAAAATTTCTAATCAAAATAACAGGTTCTTTTTGTAGAACATTGTCTTACATCCTCAGTAGCAGAAGTACTTTGGCTGAATTATTCTCTACCAGGAAAGGAAAAAACAAAATATCTGGTTGAGGAATGATTTTTACTCTACTGTTTTTTGCTCTTCAGGGAAAATTAGGCAAATTCACTGGGAATGGCCATTGCAGGAACATTCCTCTCTTTTTGCTCTGAGATCATACTATTTTTCTAAACTGGGTGTCTGCTGAACTTGACTTGAAAGGAGAAACCAGACTAAATATAGCTAAGTTGATTTTCGTCTTGAAATCCGGAGGAAAATCTTGTTTCCCCTCAAGAAAAGTTAGAGATTAATGATTGGAAATCCTTGGTTTTCATCAGGGAATATTTCCAAGGAAATTAGAAAGGAATAAGTTATTATCAGGGAATGGAAAAAATCGTCAATTCTAGACACTAAATTTTAAATAAAACTGCTAAAATGTCACTTTAAAACTTTTTATGCGTAAAAAAAATCTACCAAAAATTTGAAGATAAACTGATAGTTGGATGGAATTAAGCTAAACCGTCACATTACATGCAGTGTTTCCAAATCTCAGCTCCTGTTCTAAATTTTTGAAAAAAAACCAACTGACATTTATGCTTGAAATTTTGTGGAACTTAACTTCATGAAAGAAAGAAAATTTACAACAAATTCGAGTCGGTGTTGGTTGATTTCCCTGTACAAAATTAAAATATGAGATGGGATTCTGAAACACCACTTGTGAATGTGACTATTATGCTTGACTCTCTCTAGTTAGTCTTTTTTGAAAAACTAAAATGTGAGTGGACATTCACAACATAACACTTCGATTTACAATTTTATTTTCACTTTAGTTATTGATATATATTCCACGGTTACATCATACTTATAGTCTTTGCTCTTCCTTTCATGACACTAAGTAAGTAACCAGTTGTTCTGCTTTCTGATGTGGTAAAAAAATTGAACCCTCCCGAAGCTTTCTATCTTATGATTGTTTCCCTTGCCAGTGTTATTTCCTTTTATTAACATTTCTGACAAATGGAAATTATGTGGAATTTAATCTTTTATAAAAAAAATGTTTCTGTGTAAGTAGCCCTTTCTATTTTTTCTTCACTCTGTTTACTTTTTATATCTCAGTGTTACTCATGCACAGTTATCTTAGTCAAATCTTACATAGATTTCTAAATGCATCCATAAATCAAATATATAAAATGATTATTAAATTGTCTATAAAATAGAAAACTCTGTGTTTTCACTTTATTGATTCATTGCAAGAATTAAAATGTTATCATCAACTCATTCTTTAATACTTTTGCATAATTGTCTTGCAAAAGTACACAGGTTTATAAGTGATTGTGTAATTTAGACTGAATCTGTCATAAAATTTTTTGTGTGAGATTTTAATTTCACTAAATTAATATTCCTCAATAAGAAATGTCTGTCACTCGTGATTTTAAAGTGGGACCAGTTAGAAATATTCCAGCGCTCGATAGAGGCGCGGACGGCAATAAAGAAAAAAAACCTTAAAACCGACCGACAAGCAACAATACAGAGTTAAGAGTATGATTAGATGTATCACGTAATATTGAAGGCGTCAGATGTACGCGTAATAAGCACAAAATCAAACAGAAAAAAAGAGAGGGGAAAACGCCTTCAATTTGACTGCACGCAATCCTGCGTCGCGCGAAAGCAGCAATAATTGACGTGTCCAACTGAAGCCACTTACAGGAGTTTAGGGATCGCTTTGTGATGGTAAATTTAAGAAATCTACACTGTGAGATCGTGGATGGCGTTATTATTTTCTGAAAAAATTGGTTATACTTTTCTGGTAGATTTAAGTAAAATATCTGATGAAAAATGAAGTGATATCCCACAAAAAAAACCCTTGGGAGGGTGCCATTCAGACGGCAATAAACTAGAGAACTTGACCGTCCCGATTTTACAGACAAACATATATGATATGAGAAATCGGGACGGCAATTAATTCTAGGGTTTGTCTCATGTTGGTAGGCCAGCCATTTTTCTAAAAAATAAATAAATAAAAAAAGGAAAAAATAAAAAACAGAAAAAAATAAAAAAATTGCCGTCATGCCGCAGAAAAGGAGTAACTTCTGCAATTTTATCAACTATAAGTGATTAGGTACCCATTACAGAAATGGTACTCAATGCCAAAGTGATTTGTCAAACATATCTGCGGCATGACGGCAATTTTTTTATTTTTTTCTGTTTTTTATTTTTTCCTTTTTTTATTTATTTATTTTTTAGAAAAATGGCTGGCCTACCAACATGAGACAAACCCTAGAATTAATTGCCGTCCCGATTTCTCATATCATATATGTTTGTCTGTAAAATCGGGACGGTCAAGTTCTCTAGTTTATTGCCGTCTGAATGGCACCCTCCCAAGGGTTTTTTTTGTGGGATAACATTGAGTAACGCATCTCACTGTCCAACGTTTCAAAATTTCTGCAAAAAGAAGACAAATTGATTTATATGGCTTAAAAGTAGAGAAGCGGGGTGTTGTGTTTCTCCATAAAATTGAAATACGTAGGTACTGTTTAGAGGATGATATTGCTTCATTTTCCATTGGAAAAATACAGTCGGAGACTGAGATGAGCTTTACAAATTGAATATGTACAGTGTGCCGAGTTGGCTCTCAATGGTTAATGATTAACCATTGATAAAATGATATCATTGAAGGGTAGCATGTAGAATATGAGGTGCAAGTCAGGTGCAAGGGCTTGGACGCGCGATCATTACGATCATGCTTGAAAAATTGTTTGTAAACAATGTTATCTCAAGATCAGAAGCATTGAAGGACAAATGCGGTTACATGCTTCGGTCGAAAATCGCTCGAATTACACAGAGAGAAAATGTGTGGACTGGACCGTTGAACTGACCTTTTTCCTTATGGCTTTTATCCTTTATCAGCGATGCTCATATCCTGGGACCGAACGTACAATCCTCCAAGACTCCTTGGGCACAAAACACTTCACTTGGAACACGACACTTCATGTATCAAAACCACGGGCACAAAAACACTAGAGGCGTCGCGAGACCGTTCACTGCACTTTCAGATCATTTCGGGAAAAACGACGGTGAAGGAATACGTTTGAGACACCCACTGAACACTGGATATCGTGATCGGCTGCGAAGGGGTCAAGATCAAAATTGGAATGCTACTCCTCGTTTCTGCTAGGAGCTGAGGCTGAACAAGAATCCCGTCCGTTCCCCTTCTCCTTTTCCCCGGGGCAACCATCCAGTTTTCTGTTTTGTTTTGTTCGGCTCCTTCTGGAGGCTCTCGATGCAACAGGCGAACGGGGAGTAAAACAGAATCGAGAGAAGATCGAAGGCAACAGGTCAAGACAATGGAGAAAGACGGAGAAAAGAGACGATGCGATGCTTGTGTGAGTCTGAGTGTGAGTCATTCGTGTGTTGACTTGCGTGAGTAATCGAGATGAACAGGCCGCGGAAAGATAAGAGGAGATGAATGAAGCTACGAAGAGGAAAGGAGGAGAACTGTTTTGGAGATTTTTTGACAGTTCAACAACTGGAAACTAACCTATTTCGAACTTTGAGTGAAGTGAATTGAGTGCTGCTTTTTCATCGAATTTGTGCTTGTGAGCTTATAGGTGTTTCGCAATCGCAATCTGTTTTATTTTGTGGTGTTCGTCAGTGAAAAGATGTGCTGCATCAGTGCATCGTGCGTTTTCTACTCTGCTTTCGTTCTATCCCAGTAACTCATTGAAATCCTGTAGGTACCGTTGTTCGAAGACTGAATTTATGGTCTGATAATTCCGAAGTTCATCCCATTGCAGTCGGTAAAGAAAGTTCAACTTACAGCTTTAATGAAACGACGTAGCTGACCAGAATTCCTCTTTTAACAACCCACCAGGCTGTCTTCAAAATGGGTAAGTGCTATGCTAGTTGTTTTGCTTTTTCTTTTCAAGTTCAGCAATTCCTGCTCTGAATGTGGTTCCATATTAATTGACCCCCGAAATCCTGTTTCATCAGGCTAATTTTTGGAGCAGTTGCTAATTGAGCAGGTCGTTGGTGAATCATTGTTGTCCTGGCACACCCTCAAGCAATTGTGACTAATTGTTGAGACCTTAACGAAGCTCGGCCTATTTGCAAGTCCTCCCATCAAAAGCATACTACATCTCAACCCAAATCCTACTCCCACTATCATCATTTCCTGTCTGTTTGATGACCCGTTTTTCAGCTGACATTGTTGTCCCCAGTTCCTTTTCACATGGATTTCGTTCTTTTGGGTGTTGCGGATCTCTTTCATTCTGATTCAGCAGTTAAATCCACGCACCAGTCTCCTTAAAGTGAAGACTTAGTATTTAATTCATATTGACAGTAGTTTTATTTTGTAGTTGGTTTAATGCCACCTGAGGAATATTAATTTGAACGACAAAGTACAAATACAGGTACGTTTCAAAATTTTAACCCAGCAAAATCGATGCAGAGCTGGTAAATTTTGGCCTCTTTTGATCAGTTTTACATATGATAAATCTCAGGTCGAGATCAAGTCATCATGGCTTGTTCAATTTGAGAATTTTACTTCTCCAAGATTTTGTTCCGTTTTCATGGGTGAACGCTTAACAATGTCTTGAGTTCTGTAAAAGGAATGTATGTACCCGCAAAATATTCATCCTGCAGCAAGTATCATAAGTCTTAGCTGAATGAATATGAGCATGTTTAAGAAAAAACAATATTTTGACATAAGACGCAGACATTCTTAAAATCAGTATGTGCTTTTGAAAAGTTGCCCACTAATCTTTTTTAAAATTTCATTTTCATGGCTGTCTCTCATTGCAGGTAGTAGCTGTGAAAGCTGTATGACCAGGATGCCTTATGCAACGTTAATTGCGACAATTATGTGCCTCACCGGGGTTGGTGTGTTCTGTGGGACAATTTACCGTGGAGCCACTTTAAGTTATCAGATGTTGGAGCAAGTCTTCTACATACAGTCATCTTGGTAAGATTTCACGTCTCCATTTTCTCAATTTCCAGTCAGTATTATTCCAGTGAAAGAGTCACATGATTGAGGAATAAAATAACATAATCTGAGTCAGGTAAACAGCGGTTACAACAACATATTGGTGACCAGGTACTTAAACTGGTTCATAACTTTATTGTCCTCTTGTCAAATTCTATTTTTATGTTTGAAAAGTACAAAATACAATTTTTTGAAAAATTCAATGATTTTTCCTCACCGTTTAAAAACAATCTAGGTATAAGTATTTTTAACCAAAAAGTTATCTTTTTTTTTTCCTTTTGAAGATATTAAAAAGGAACCGATATTTTAAAACACCACAATCAAACTACATGATTTCTGGTTTCAGCTATTGATATGAAAATGTCAATCTAGTTTTGTCCCGACATTTTTTTACAGAAAATTTCAATGATTATTATTGACCTCTCAGAATTTGTCCTCTGGCTTTTCCTTATAATGGTGGGAAAATTATACCTACTTCCCAAATCAATTTTCATTAGTATTTTAGGTGGCGGTAGCTACCCAGGCCCAATCCTAAAAAACTCCCCCTAAAAAATGACGAGACCAAATGAAAAAAAAAAAAAAAAAAAAAAAAAAAAAACCGACGGGTGGCTGCTGCCTTAACTAGTTATACACGAAACACCTCGGTCGGGCTTTTCTGCATCTCATAAGTCACTGAACGGTCTATATAAGTGAGTACCTTTGATAGATAAAGCAACATAATGGTTGATAAAGCAATGATAGAACTAAAGAAAAAAAGGATCTCAAAGCCAAAAAACTCAGAATTGAAATTTTTGTCACACTGCATTAATGCAAGTTTTATGAAATTTGTGGCTCAAGAAATTACTCAGTTTTCAATTTTATTTTTCAGGATTGAACCTCTCAAACTCACATTAATGGGCATCAGCGGTTTCATGGGTGCAGTCGGACTGATGATCCTTTTCGTTGGATGCCTTGCTACCGGTGCTACGAGGCAAAAGGTGTACCGTGCCTGGGGAGCTCGTGTTGGTGGTCGAATATCATGCGCAGTTGTAAGTATTGCATCAGTGACACCCAATTTTTTTAATCCGTTTTCTGAAAGTATGGTTTTAACCAAGCTCTCAGGAATTTTTCCGGATTTTTCAAACCATAAAATGTGGCAAAGAAACCTTGTTTTGAAAATGCCTAAAGTGGGATTCCTTTGAAACAACATTTTGAGTGGGTGTTGATGATGTAGCTGCAAAGGGGAAAGGGTTCTTCCTGATTGGCTGAACTCATATTCAGGCATTGCTTTGCTACGTTCACTAGACGGTTGGCTGTGACTGGTCTGATTTCGATTAGCTTTTTCTCCCCCTAGAAATGATTTTTTATTTTTCCGCAACATGTTATGAAAGAGAAACTGTATTATGTCCCCGCAAAAAACAAAATAATTTATAAAAATAAATTCAAATTTTAGCTTTTCATTTTCATTTGGTAAATGATGAAATTTCTGTGCAGTGTAACAAAATAGGTCTTCTTTAAGATCATTCAAAAGTTAAAACTAGAAAATTGTCTTGCCTATCTATGTAAAGAAAAAATTAAAGAGACCTTCCGTACAATGATTTTTTATGAAGAAACTTCCTTGAAATTGTGAATACAAAGCAATCATAATTGAGGCGTTAGCTGGTATAACCATCCATAGTTGAAAACATAGTTTCGAGAAAATTGCATTTGAAGGTTTGATTCTGAGATTCATTGCTGGGTTTTCGCGGTAGGAAAACTGCAGAAGCATTTTTTCGTAATTGATAGTATCCCTTAAACTACCCACCATGCAGTTTTTGGAAATATTTGAGTTTTCACTGTAAAATTGACGGTTTAAAAAAGTCTTGTAGGTGGTTATTCCATAGAACACCTGATCTCAAGGTAAAATGGCTGAAAGGTTTATTACGAAACTTGAATAATGCTTTGTGACTGATTATATAATGTAATGGAAATAAAAACCAAAGAAAAACTTTCAATTTTGGCCGTATACAATGATGCCAACTAAAACAGCTTGCAATCAAAGACAAAACTAAGAAAAATTGGAACTTAAAAATCAGTCTTCCAAAAACTTTGAATTATCAGTTTAGAAAACTATCGTCAAGTGCACCTGGTGCAGTCACAGTCCTTAGACACTGACGCAGCGTGTAATCGCGTTGATAAATGGAAGACCCACCGATACGCATGTAGGTTATTATTCCATAGACCCGCCAACCAGTCCGACTTCACTTTACTAAAGTTGACTTCTTGAGCCAAGTAATCAAGGGATTGACTTGCTATCACTACCAGTGATACCCAAGGATACAATAGTTCAAACGAATCGATATCCGGAAAAACCACCTATACGCGTATCAATTATTGTAATACGTAGAGATTAATTCTTCCCATCAATAATGAATTTATTAATGCTTAGGCAAAAAAAATTTACTCATGGGAGTTTCAAGCAGAAATTTCGGCTTTAATTGATATATGCATGATTGAAGCACCTCTACTTTTCCCTATTTTTCATTCATTATTGCACATTGATTTTTCATTTCAGTTTATGAGCATATCATACATACTACAAATCGTCTGGTTGCTAATATTCATTTTTCTGGTAATTATTACTCTGGTCTTCACTGTATTTGTGAAGATGTGTTCAAGTCATCGAGTTCAGAATCATGAGTGCTTGAGCTTCCGACAGTTCGGTAAGTACAAGATCTAAATTTTGTATTTAATACTATTTCTACCTTTATGAACTAACTTATGTAACTGCCGCTCTCTCTTTAAAAAAAACTGAAGGAAAGACTGTCAGAAGGAAAAACTGTCAGCAATGCTCTGGATTTACTTTTTTTATAATTACTTGATGATCTTCCAAAATCATTCTATCACTTTTGATCAATCAAAGGGTCAGATCTCATGAACAAAATACTCTGTTTGACAAATTGACCGCTGATATCTGTTATGAAGAACGGAAAGAAAGACTGTCTTTAATGTTTTGGATTCACCATTCAGAACACTCGTCAACCTCCAAAAATTCAACGAAATTTTCTGATTGACAAATGAGAAGCTCAGCTTGACAATCGGAAGTTCAGTTTGACACTTGGTACAGCTTCATTGTCATGAAACACCGAGTGTTTGGCTCTTACGATCAAATTTTTTATCTCAGTGTAGACATATTTTGATTTCAAGAACACCGCTCTAAGCTACATTTAAAGGGAGAAATCTGATGTAAAGAAAATAATTTTCAAATTAGAGAAATATACCTAGAATCATTGTAAGCCCTGCTTAATCTCTCTCCTCTTTGAATTTTTTTTTTTTTGCTGTGACTACTCTGTAGAATGAAAAAAATATCATCTAGGTATTTTTTTAATTTTTAACAGAATACCTTGCTCTTAGGACTGTAAACAAATTAAAAGTTGCATTCTCCAACCCTTGAGGAGTGCTTGCTAATTGAAAAAAGTTTGTTTTTTTTCTTATGTTTCTCTATCTTTAAAAATTGGCAACCTACAACTGACTTTCTCATATTTTCCCCCAGATTTCTTCTTCCCTGATGGACAACGACCAGAGCACATGGAAGTGTGTGATCATAAAACGAAGGAATTCTGCAAGGATTATGTAGAGAAAGCTGAAATTATGTTTGTCTTATCTTTAATTGCGTGCTTCTTCATAATTTTAAGTTTGGTAAGTATGAAATTAAGTAACCACCTTACACACAATAACTATCAATGTTAATGAAGACAGTGCCAGTCCGGTCTTTGAACAGTAAAAAAAGCTGTCATTTATAAACCACTGTAAGGGCTTTTCAAGATGAATCTGTTTATGTTTTTATTCATGCCCTAAATTGGCACAGAAATTAAGTGCACTGCCATCCTTTGGAATACTAAAACCCAGGGGTGCTGAAATATCCTGATCCTTAGATTATCATAACGTGGCTGCTTGTGAAAAATAAATGAGAAGGCTGTGAATCTAGAAAAGGTCAGCTTGCAAGTGCGCAAATATTTTGTGTTTCTTCAAAAATTGTGATGAAATTTGCATGTTGTTCATTCAATAACAGCAATTTGCAAATGAAGGACCAAAAAAGGTCATAGTTTTGAAAATTTTGGGGAAAAAGGGGTTTCTAAGATGGGGAGACCAGTTTGAAAAATTTGAAGGCTAAGAACTTTCTGCACTTCTGCTTAACTATCTTCGAAGAGAAGATTCCTGAGTTGGACTAATAGTTCTCTCTTGAATAATTTTTCTCTGTACTTTAAAGTAGCTTTTCTCGCAGATAGTCACATTTTTTCTTTGGTGAACAATTGTTATAATTTCCCTTGGAAATGAATTTTATATTTCTATCTCAGCTTTGTCTTTCTATCTCCCTCCTTGTTCATTTTGTTTTTGTTGCCAAAGACTGCCTCTTAAAATTTTTTCCGTCTCATGGTTACCCAATTTTGTATTTACAGATCCACTACTTAATGTGCCTTTCCGCCAATTACGCCCACATCAGAGATCACGAAAAATTCCAAGACCTGCAAGAACTCAAGTACCTGCAAGGCTCGGATCCCTCAATTCACTCGCGGGGTCGATACTAGGATACGGCACAAGAAATCTTCAGGGAACTGACCTTGCCGCCGACGATGTTTCCATTTCACTAGGAGTTGTCGCGCAACATCGAAAATTTTAGTCACATTCCTTCACAACCCTCCGTCATGTTTAGGAGGATTTAGGCTGAGAAACTTTTTTGTTTTAATGTAACTAATCAGTTTACATTCTACTCATGAAACTAACCCTCGGTGTGTAAAAATGGTGTGATTCCGCCCCAACATTTGAGTGCACTACATTGTTTGTGAATAGATCATTGCAGCATATAAACGTCACAGAAATTAATATATGGCAGGTCCGAAGTTGTAATCAAATTTTTTCATATTCCTCCTTTTGATGGCTTTTTTTACTGGAAGATTTCAGTAGATGTTATTTTATAGTTTCCATTGCATCTTTCGAAAATGGTGAGATGGATTTCAAAGCTTTAAAAAATGTGTGCTGATGTTCCTTTGTTTAAGTTCAATTTTTTTGCGAAAAAGAAGATGTTGGAAAAAGTGCCACCCTTTTTGCACCTTGAGGTATCAATAACATTGGAGAATCTATAAGTATTCTTCCTTGGCTTTGACAAATGTAAAATTCAGATCCAACTGGTATGAATTGAGAATTTTTTCTTCACATATTGATCTCAATTGTCATTTTTTACAGGATCTAGCTCCTGTCTCTTATTTGTCCTGGGCACATGGAATTTTTATCTCTTGTTAAGACTTTTCAGATTTTTATTTATTAGAATAGATATTGTGTCTTAAATTTTTAATATCTGACTCCGTCCAAGTTGTGTTCAGACCACACTGACTACTTAAAAATTCCGTCCTCACTTTTAAGCCTTTAATTGAATCGCTGAGTTCACCGATGATCCGATTTCGAATATTTGAATTAATGTAGAAAAGTGGTTTCTAGGGTCAGGTGTAACTTTTATTTTATTTTTAACCTCTCATGAATTTAACATTGGTGAATTTCAGTCAGTTCGAAAACAACTCATCTCTGGAGCTTTCATCTGTCATATTTTTAAAACAAAAAAAAGCAGGAACATTGGCCTTTGAGTCTTTCAAAACGCCTGTAACATACACCATAAATATTTTCGAATTATTGAAAGTTATCAGTTCTAATCAGTTTTTTCTCTGAATTCCATTTTTTTACGTACAGAGGTAGGTGGTTTTTTAACTGAATGATTCAATTGTTTATCTCTTAAGAAATGGAGAATTTGACAGAAAAACATTGAGTGTGCAATTGTAGAGCAAAGAATGGAAGCAATTGGATCCTGTCCTTGCTATAATTGTGAATTACCGCCATTAGATCTGATCAATTGTTTTTAAATATTATTTAATTATTGTCGATCTCAAACAAAAATCAACGGCAGACATCCAAGATAGATTATTGTTGATCGTTGTCTGTTGGTTGACAATCGCATCCAATGTTCCCTTTCAAAAACGTAGATTAAATAAAAAAAAGTTGATGCTTTAGTAGCCAACAAGATAAAAACTCCGTTGTTAGAGAGGATTCCATTTTCAGCACTGCAAAATAGGTTGGCATCATACATCACATTTACGCGCTAAAATTTGCTTTGAATGTACGCTCCATGTTTTTCTATTTTCTTCCGAAAAGTCCTAGATTGTCCGAATAGTGTTCATTTTATTACTTCTCAATCGACAAGAAAAATCTATGGCGACTTCAGTCTTTCACGCTAAGTTAAACATTAACTTTTATTAATGCTAATTCTACTTTACACGAAGTTTTCATATGAGAGCTCTCAGCATGCTTTATTTTCGCCGGAAGAAGTATTTTTCTCAAACTTTGCTTAGCTCTCAGTTCAAGTTTAAAGTGTAGACATTTTTTGGTGATAATGCAACACTATCTTTCGAAAGCCGTTTTTGTTTGTAATTTTTTTTGCAAGGAAATAGCACAAACTGCCTTTTTTATCTTTTAAAAGTACGAAAGCCTCAAGGGTACTCTTTTTTGTGACTGCAATGCTTTACGCTCAATCCCCTCAGGGACCGAATTTTGCCGGGAATACTTAGCACTCAAATATTCTCATGATGAGTAACGATAACTGTCCAAGGGCCTCTGTCAGCAGCGCAGTTTCAGCTCATGAACAAAAGTTAGATTTCAGTGCAAAAGTGCCGACATAATTCGGTCCCCGAACGAATTCAATACTCAGATCCATGAAGATTTCTTGTGGTGCCGCCTTTTATTTTTCAGCTATTACATTTACTGACTCTTTTTTTCACTTTCTAGGTTAATATTAAGTCAGCGCACCAAAAATATTATGTTTTTATTTTTTATAGTCGCAATCAGAATATTTATTTGTTCCTGTAAATTTAATACTTGCTTTTGAATATTTGCTTCTATTTTTGACTGCTCTCCTGAACCGTAACTTGTTCTCAATGTAAAGTACGAGCTTTGTTTTTTATTTTCACAAAACTACAAGCAGCAAATTAAAAATATGCCACTGTCCTCAGGAAGAGGGACTTTCCTTTGTGGAAGCGCATTTTTAATGAGGAATTTTTTTCCTAGCTGAATCAAATAGTTGGGATGTAAGTTTCAAATGAAAAACCCTTCAATATCTCTGAGTGGAAGCTATCAAAAATTCAGTTCATTTTTGCGCCTCAAGAGAGCATTTATTTCAAATTTGACTTGACAATCTTAAAGTTCCGAACATGTCAAAATGCATCTTTTAATGGATTTTGCCCAGAGCTACGTCTTTTGAACAGCTTCAACCTCATTTAGTTCAAGAGTATTTCTGTATTTTGAGGCTTAAGTGTTGTAATAGTTGTGAAAAACGTCCCATAGTAGTGCTAATTGTATTCAATTTTGAAATTTCCATACTAATGTCCTTTTTCCTGTGGATAGTAGCACTTAGTTTCACAACTGGTGCCACTAATTAATCGCTTCTCAATGGAGCTAAAAAGATATCGTAGCTCTTAGAAGGATGGCTGGAAAAATACATTCGTATATTGGACTTTTCAAACATAAGTTAGAAGTCAAAAACTATTCTGTATTTCTTCTTAGTGTCTCATACTTTTGTATATATCGCTTCTGCATGAAAAATATTGCATTACGATTGTATTGCAATCAAAATACGTTCTTTTTATATTGTATTATTTTAGATTTTTCATTGTCTGTTGTCCGCTCTTTTGTTATGGTAGTACTATGAGGTACCCTTTCCAGTGTTCTAACTTCACCTAAAAATTTTTAAAACCACTTAGCAAGGAAGCTTAACTTTTAGGTTCCATCTACAGTATATAAGGAGGAAAATCATCATGCATTAATCTTTGGCAATAAAGATTTTTGATGATAAATACATATCGACGGTGTAAGTCGGCAATCACATAACTCGGTTTACGATGTCGCAGACTTCCTGTCATACTTTATTTTTTAAACAGAAAACTACTCAACGGCAATTCTTTAAAACTGCCGTGATTTTTCTTCAAACTTCAAGGAATGATGTCAATTTGATTTCTTTTAAAAAAATAACATTGAGGCGGAGATTTTCAGACGCCGCAAACGAGTTATGTGATTGCCAACTTACACCGTCGATATATGCTTTAGTCGGTGCAGCACCTCCTACGTTTAAGCACAATTAACACATGGTGAAGTGAGAACACTACCATACATACGTACAATCAGTCTGTGTTCTTTTTTTCTTATCTTTTTTTTTACATTCGGCGAACTGTGCACCGATTATTCCCAACTCATACGTTTTTTTCACTAAGTTTGCAAGTTACGCAATAAGATGGTAGTCAAAGTTGTATGGATGCTTCAACAAGGCACCTTTTTTCTTTAGTATTAGACATAATATAAGGTTGCTGAGTCAACAAGTTGTTATTAGACGGTAACGAAGGCTTTATTTTTGTAAAACTTGAAAATTTGACTTTATCCTTGAGGTGTATTTAAACGAAAAATTAGCGATCATCACCAGAAACGGAATGTTTGAATTTTTATTGTTGTGAGGGGTTGTAAAGAATATGGCACAATTTTTATTTTTTATACATTGACCTATTGTAATGGTAATAAAAAATCCAGTTAAAAAATTTTATCTGTTCTCATTTGCAAGAAAGAAGGGACTCTCGATGTTTTTATTTTTGGTCGTATCAAAAGACAACAACATTCGACAACACATCGTGGGGTGAATCTCCTGCTATGGGAAGTGTGAAAGGTATAAGTTGAAGCATTACAACTTGTATTTTTTCTTTTAAAATTCAATAAAACCAATTTTTTTTAGGATGATTAAGTGCTAAAATTGGAAGGATTACACGTTTTTCAAAATAAAACTATTTTAATGGGTGGAAAGTGAACAAACCTCTGCCAATATATACATACAATCATTGAGTCAACTTCGGTAAAAAAATAGAAAACAACATACATAAAAATTTGAATCATTAAAACAGTCTTTCTTACAATTGAGAGATCAACAATAACACTTGCTCTTCGACAATGAACACACCGGCAGACAGGAGATCACATTAGTGTTTCTGCAGAGAAAATTTTTGAGAAATCAATCGAGGCTTTCAATTTCTCAAGCACTATGTTAGGGTCATGCTGAAAAAGAGAAAGAGAAATAGTATGTACTCAAAACAATCCGTTTAAAAAGAAAAATTTAAAACATAAAGTAAAAATGAGCAAGAAAGAAAATCCATATCTTATAAGAAATTCCCTGACTTTTTTTTTATAGTTCTATGGCCCTGGCAACATTCTAGGAAATTCATAGAAATTTTTTTTTTGCATTATGAAAACTTCTATCCAATAATGGTAGGGATCATAAGTATTGATTCCTAGTCTTTCAGAGCAAAATCGTGACACTGCCATTCAGAGAAATACCTATCACAGTAGAAAGATACACATTGAAATGTGCATGTACAAATGGACGAGGTCTAACAGAAATGTACCAAGTCCCATCAAGTTTGGGACCAGAAAAAGAGGTTTAAGGGGCTTGGAGGACAAGGCGCATAAGTGCAGTTTTTGAAAATATTGAGTTATTAATGATTTCAACTAAAACTGGTCTTAAAATATATTCTGTTAAAAATTCACTTCTAAAATCCAATTTTTAAGCATTAAATAGTGAGTTTGAAGTTCCTTTTTGCCAAAAGGCTCCATGTATTTTCGAAACTTTAAACCTGTACTTTTTGAAATGGCAAAAAGTGCACCTTGTCCTCGTTTATTTCTCCATTAGACTCAATTTTTAAGACAAAGTCTAATGACTGGTTATAAATTGAAAATATTTGTTCTGGCCTCTGAAATTTTGACCAGTGACGATGCACGACAAGATGAATTTTAACCTGCTCTAAACTCTCTTTTTTTTCCAAAATACGACTTGATGCATTTCAATTTAATGCGGTCCTGTTCCTCTTAAACAGCAAAAACAAACAGGGTGAAAAAAGCTCAAGAATGCGAAAGTGCAACTTTTATTTTCATAACTGCACTTCCCAACATTCCAATCCCCTCAGACTTTGATATTTTTCTTATAATTTTCGTCCAGTTCTTCAATTTTTTTTTTAAAAAAACCATAATCGCTTTTTGAAATGTCTTTACATGGCTTGCTGTGCCTCATATATGTGGCGCTCCACAGATCGCTAGTTCAGGCAATGTCTCATCCCTAAAACGTAACCTGTTATCTGATCACTGCATCCATCAAAACAGCATTCTCAGAAAAGTAATTTAGAACCTTGAAGAATCCTACCTGAAATATATGAATTCCTCTCATGGTGACTACAACCAATTCTCGAACGCCATCTTGCGACAGGTCTAGATGAGCCATGCAAAGAACAGAACTGGACACACCTCTGGTCCCTATGAGCTCCCACCTGGAGTTGATATACTTGTATGCGATGAGTTCCTGCAGAAAGTACCGTAAACAAGCACATAGAGGAGAAAAATTACCTAAGTTTTCAATTTAAAATAAGATGTACAATAGATTTTCATGCAGAAACTAAAGTATGACAGGAAGTCTGCAACGTTGTAGACTGAGAATTGCATTTCTGCAGTTCCACCATTGATATGTACACTGAATTTAATTACATCGAGGAAACTGAGAGGGGGACACTGAATTCAGAGACTTTTGACGATGCAGATTGAACTTGATGAAGGGCTTCTAACATTAACCCATTGATTTTACCAGTTGAGTTGACCTGAGGTTATTGACTTTCGTCCCCTAGAGCCCTAGGGCTGGCCCGGCTGCCGAAAAAATCAGCAAGTGTTATTACTTTCCCTATGCAGATAGAAGCTTTTATAAATTAGCCAGAAATAGTTGTCTATAATTGCAAAACGTACACAATTTAATCTATGATGCTGCAGGACCTGGATCTAGGATCTGCTTCATTTCCTCCAAAGACAAACTGTTCCATTAATTCCGAGAAAATCTTTGTAATGGAGAGAAAGTGAAGGGAGTAACTTCTAACGACATAAAATGATCCCTATATGATGAAAACTGGGTCATTCCATGCTGGATCAGACCAACAGTTAGCACTTTTTGACCTGAGCCTAACAGAAATGGATTAAATTTAGCTCACTCTTACTGTTCACTGAGCTGACGGTGAGTTGAAAGATGTAATTTAAAAAAATTTTGATGCCTCGTTCAACTATTCTTTAGCATTAAAGTTCTGGCAAATTGATGGATACTGGCACCTTTAAGAATCCATAAATTTAGAATGGTTGATCCGAAAAATGCAGCTCTACATGTAAAATTGCTCCCAATGTAAAATTGATCTCTAAATTTTTTAACTACGAACAAAACATACAGCAAAATATTGAAGTTACCTGAGAATAAGCGCCCAGAATAATCTCTTGCTCCCCATCTAAATCAATATCTGCACAAACTGAGCTCAAAATAGCATCATAGGAGTCTTTGTAAGGTAGAAAGTGGCGTTCACTTGTGCCTGAGGTAGTAACATTCCTGAAAGCAGAAACCTTATTGTTCTTTCATTGAAAAAAAAAAGAACGCACGGATGCTGAACAAACGACAGAATAATTTAAACAGGGTAGATCTTCTCTGTGCGGGAGATTTAGGGGTAATATTAAATGTGACACCCTTTTTTTCCATTCATTTTTTAAAGTATAGAGTAAACTAAGCTCCTAGAAATTTTTTCAGATTTTTTTTAAACGTGATGGAATAGAAACCCCATTTTGAAATTTCCCAAGATGAGACCCGTTTGAAATGATACTTTTGCCCGGCTCTGATAGCGTAGCCAGGCAGGGGCAACGATGTTTGCTGATTGGCTAGTCTCAGTTTCAGAAATCACTTTGTTACTTAGCTCAACTGTCCGTTTGTGATTGGTCGGATCAATCCGCTTATTCTCCTCTCTAGAAAACACGTGTAAGAAGTCAGAAAAATTCTCTTTCCATCCCTGCTTTGCCTTCCGATTGGCACTTGGAAATTTCGATTTCAAAGCTCTCTGTGCTCTGGAGATTGCGAGGAACATCATATCAAATAATATCAGAACTAAGCCAGCGCCAAATTTCTTGGTTTTTTGTGTGTAGTCTTTCAATGTGTACATTTTTCTAAAGACCTTAGCAAAGAATTTTCAAAGGTTTCCTGAATTTTAAGAGTATTTCCATGTATCTCCAAAGAATGTGAAATTTTCAATAGCTTTTATAACGCGTATAATTAGACCAAACTAATAATTGATGATGCTTTGATACTTTTTCAGGAGAAATCAAAGTTACTCTCATCAAAATTATATGGCACCACATTTTAGGTAGTTAGCGATGTTTCCACATGACAATCATATCAAATAAAAATCACTCACATGAATACGACTGATTGGTTGATAGTTGATGTGACTAGCAAGTTTATATTTTCTTCTCCTTCCTCTTTACTTTTTTTTTCACCCTCGTCTTCAGTCTCGCAATTTTCTGAGGAATCTGTAAAAACAAAAAGAAAATAGAACACCCAAATTAAAGCACACACTGTTGACAGCGCTTCAGTTTATGAAGAAGCAGAGGGTTCATATTAAAAAAATAAAACAATCTGGCTTCAGTTTTTATCTTTAACAATGTTCAGGGTTCTAACGATTTTTTATTTTCCGATTCCCTGACTCCAAAACCAAAATACCCAACTTCCCTGACCTTTGATCAAAACCTCAACTTATATTTTCTTCTTCTTTTGATTATGCTGACTTTTGCCATACGTACTAAGGACAAAATCTCCACTTCTAGATATTCAAATGAAGAAAAACCACTCTCTGAAATTGTTGACGCTCTCTCAAATGGCACTAGCTGAAATTATTAAGCGCCACTTGCAATATTCCCTGTGAATTCTCTGGCTTTACCTGACTTTCCAGGTTTTTCAGACTGCTGGAAACCACAAAAATTTCTAGCTTTATTTATGTCTTTGAAGCAACAATACAGAATAGTTTCTAGCCTCTGGACCTATCGTAAATATAATTTACTTTTTTTTTAATTTTTGGAATCTGGACCTTGGATGTGAGTAAACCTACAAAATTTCGGAACTGGTGAAAGAATTTTACCTTCTGCATCTGGTGGAAAATAATTGCTCAAATAGAACAGCTGCACTCGAGAGATAGGCCCATCACAGTCATAATTCCAGACTGACAGCAAAGTATTGCTTTCGATTTCCACTAGACTTATCTTGACTGACCAGTCTTCACACCCTATCACAGATAAACGCCTGAAAGGGCATACAAATTCAAAAGGTTACCTGACTGTGGAGCAAGATTTTTCACTGTCACCAAGAAAAAGGATCATGGTACTAATATTTTTGATAATACATAGAGGAGTTTATTCAAGTGTTCACTGAAGTTCTTCCACTTTTCTGCATGCTCTCATGCTACTGCGGGAAAGCATAGATACATAAGCATTTCAATACACAATGTAATAAATGCTCTCTTTTTCTACGACAAAAGAAGGTCTTAAAAGGGCTCAAAAAAACTCTGTGCCTAGTCCTTAGACAAAATTTTGTAAATTGAAGAGCAGATATACACCTTCATTTCGATTATAGATTTTAACCAAAGGTACATTACTCCAGAATAAAGAAAACCACTTACCTTGTATTTTGGTGGATATGCCAAATATCTATCCATAAAACAATGCTAGACGGTGAAACTAATTCAGGAAAGTGCTCTGCAATATCTGTTTCATGATATGTGTGAGTACTTACATCTTCTGTGTACGCATGGATTTTACTATCGCTCCCACTTAAAAACCAAACAACCTGAGACAGGTAATGTCAAAATTAATATTGTTACTTCCTGATGAATGCACACAAGATAAAATGAAAATTTAATTTCATCGCAGTAAGAGTAAAAGGCTTCAACAAAAGCAGGTTTTGCGAGGTTCCATGATTTAAAATCACAATTTCAAAACTATTTAGCGGGATAAGTACATGAGTAGCGTTGATGCCTTTTGATGCATGCGTATGCATCTTACAACCTGGCGATTCTACTAAAATTGCTCTTTAAGCGTCTTTTGTCAATGTTTGAATACCTACTATCATGGGAAAAGAGCATAATTCTGAGCCACCTCTTCCAGTGCAGGGCATGTGCTTCCTAATGATAGAAACCACGAGGAAGGGCCCAAACTATGATTTTTGATACTGTCTTGGAACTCCCCTGCTCCCCCACGAGTGACCATGGTCTTTCTCCCTTACTAAGGAAGAACGCCTATGAACATTTGAGAGTTGCCAAATTTCTTTCGATAAAATGATTATTTTTTAAGAAAATTACAAATATTTTTCCTTGAGATTTTCAGACGTTTTAGATCAAATTACGAATAAAATTATCTGAGAAATTGGTAGACAAGTATTCGAAAATTTTCCTGAAAATGAGTGATTTGCCACGGGAAATTTGGCAACGCCTGAAGGCTCATACGGCGTTTTTCCTTAGCACGGCAGTATTGTAAATGGTACTTAGAACATTGGTTCATTTTTTTCAAACAGAAATATGAGAAATTGTCAAAGAAATCAAGTTCTTTCAAACTTGAATTTTTCTCCAACCTTGACTTACGAGTTATACATGTCCTTCCTCAAAGAACCCGAGCCATTAAATTTTATAACATAGATAAGTGGTGTCTCGGTACTTACTTGGTTTTGAGAGAGCAGAAAAGTATGGTAGAGGAAGTAAGGCACAAAATCCAGCTCTATCATTAAACAATTGTTAGCAAGATTGTCAATATTAAATTCATTATTCTCATCTGGCTCCGGTTCTGAGTAGATATTCAGGTACTTTTCCGACTCCATATCATTATTTCCAGTCTAAAAATTAGAGGAGAGAAAAAAGTAGAAAATGAGACAAGAGAAAGTGTTCGCAAATATTAGGTGTGTTAAGATGGATTAAGTATTTGGCATCATTCTTGGGAGTGGAGCACTAGACAAGGTACAAATTCAAGCATTCTAAGGTAAATATCCTCTTCAAAATTCTACTTAGAACCTGATTTGTGCGATGAATATCCTTTAAATTAGTTCCCAACCAAGATATTAACAGTTTTATTTTGTAGCAGATACAAAACATTTGATTTTTTTGCTCTCAAAAAAAAGAAAAAAAAAAAAAAGACTAGGACTCAATTTGGTTTTGTGGGCAGCAGATGCTTTTTCAAATGTCAAGCTTTCCAATATCTCTAGTCTTCTTCTTCTTCCTCTAACTTCTGACTAGGGCCGTGACCCTGTTTGTCTAACCTCAAATTCTGACATCGAGGCTTTTTATTTTTCCTATGAGCAAAATGGGTCCTTTTACTGGAGGCAGGTTGCTAGCCTTACCTCCGAACCCTCCTCTTTAGCCCAGGCTTGGGACGGGCAGTACCGCTGAAGAAACGGCACAGGCGGAGTTCTAGTCTTTTTTGTAAAATTTCCTTACTTATCCCTGACCTGATGAAATCTCCAGATTTCCTGACCTGTAGACACCCTGGATAGGATACAAGGTTCAATCATTGCAGGTAACATGAGAAAATTAAAAGTAAGAATGAATAATACCTTAATAATGGTGATTCCAACGACAAAATCATCATGATCTTTTGACTTGTTAACAGCATCAATGGAAATTATTTCTGCACCACCTAAAAAAGGATGACGAAAGATTAATTTGCTTAAGAATTCAAAATTCAGGACTAACTTTGGCACTACTTGTGACATTCTTAAACCTAAGATTAGATGTCAAAGAGCCATATTTTCAGACTGTACAGCACTTATGAGACATTTTCAGCCTTCAGAGCCACCTTCAGTAATTCATGATAAAACGGAGGCAGTTATACCAACTATGTCCTGCAGGCTACAATCCCTCTGGCTTTAAATAGCAGAATGATTAGCTTTGAAAAGAGATGCTATACTTCATTTTTTCAGTTCAAGTATCAAACATTTTTTATTTTTCTCTTTGAATTTTCTTTGCCGCCCTCCAATATTTGCGCCCTGGGCCGCGGCCTCAACAGCCAGTGTAAAAATCCTGCCGTGTCACATGGTCAAGAAGATTGTAACTATTTTTTTAGTGTCGGCTTAAAATAGGAATAAATTTTCAAACCAATGAACGATTTAAGTTAACCAACCAGTGAAATTGAGAGTTTTTATCAAAATTTTAAAAGCTGATGGCAATGGCATGATTTTGGTAATAGTAAAGAAAATTGATTTTTGGCTGCCGATATGTTATGTGATGTTTGTGAATGGATCTGTTACCTGGACACTCTACGTTGCCCCTGCAGAGAGCTGATTAAAAATGAAAACTTACTCGGGATGTAGGTGAAAGAAATTTCCTTGATTACAGGCAGCAGTGCATCATCCTTGTCAACTGAGTATTCGAAGCAAAAAACTTTTTTCTTGAGCGAGGTAACAAGTAGCCTCTCCAAACCAGATACAGATGTTAATCGAGCCAGAGAGTAGATGTTGCTTTGACTAGGAAGTACGAAATAATGAGCATCTATGATGCCGTCCATTGAGATGAAAAATGGCAAAAGGTTTCCAGACAAGAATTGCGAAGGATGGTATGTACGTTGTAGACATCAACGGCAGGGATCTGACACGACTAGGAAGATGCGATTAAGGCTAATGGCAGTCAATTAACTGACTGGTAAAAGATAGAATATAACAATTTTTTCCTCAAATTGTAGAATGATAGAAATCAATAATACCTCTTCCCAGTAAATTGTTCAAGGAGCATTTTGGCGGAGTACCGTATACACCACAGCACAGCACCACACTGATACTGATAACGTAACATAACCTCAAAATGTTTTGTTTACGTCGTTGTTTACAATGGTACGCGCTCAGCCATTGGTCAATGCTACAGCCAAATGCAAAGCTGCCGGGAAATTTAAATTCTTTCCTTTACGGCGGGACGAATGTGGAACAGAACTGAACCTAGTTTATTTGACGTGGAACGAGCCTAAACACTCTATGTTAATGACATTCCGAAATATAATTCTACAAGCTACCAAATACTCATTCACTTTTTTTTTTTTTAACTTAAGCTTTCACACCTATCTCTAAGGATCAAGAAAAGAAAAAAAAAGAAGAAAAGTTGATCAACGAAACACTTTTTAAGATGTGCTTGTTTTCAGTAAATAGGAGGTTCTTAGTAAAAGTTTGATAACGGAGATTCAGTTAGCACTATTTGTGTAAATAGAATATTTGATGTATTTAATGAGTACAAAAATTTCCACCTGAAACTCCGTTAACCCACAAATTTTGATTGAGATCTGCAGATCTGTTCATTTCTTCAAGAGATATGATTATTTCTTCATTATTGGAGGATTTTTCGAGGGCATTAAGCTTGAAGCTAAAAACTGACTCATTTCATACTTTCACATCGGATGGGTTTGAGGACTTAATTACCTATTAGGAAGAGTTAATAACTTATTTATACAATCAAATGAACAATAATTTTCATCCAAATTTTCAGGGAAGGGTGGGTGATGACCCACACATAATTGATATGGTAGGACTGCAGCACAAATAATGACGAAAATTCTTATAAAATTGAAAACTATGCAGTGAAACAACTAAAACCTCAAAAATTTCTCTTCATAGTCATGAAACCTACAACTTGAGTGACCCTGTGGGTGGAAGCAGTTAGGTGCAATGAACAAATGAGCTTTAAGTATTAGACTAATTAATGGCAAGCTCCAAGGGACCAAGGGTCTGTAATAATGACCTGTTCTAAGTAATAAGATCTCTTAATTTTTCAGTCTCTTGTGTATACCTTTGTCCATCGATTTTAATAATCAGCCTGTGGCACAAGACCAAGATCTCCTACGTAAATTCTGCAAGGACCTGTCTGATCATAATCAACAAAGCGGATTAACTTTTAAAAAATAAATCTTTATTAATGAGATTTTAAAGACATCAAAGTTAACATACACCACTGATGGGAGACACAAAAAGAGGAAAATTAACAATAATAAAAATTAAACGATTTTCATTGCTGTGAAAATAGTTTCCCGGTGACCTCATCTGAAGAATCAGAGAGAATAATTTTAACGCCATGCATTCAAAAGGACTCCTGAGGTCTAACTCTAGTTTGATTTGGGTTAATCACCGTAGTTATATTATTTTACACTATGCAACACATAATTAAACAAAAACAAAAATGCAAGAAAACGTTTAATGATCATGTTCAGATTTATCCAGGCAAATCTCAAAGGGAGTGCCATCCTGCTAAAACAAAGAAGATTGATTACTAAAATAAAGTAGGAAGAAAATGGTGCTTATTATAAGGGATAGATTTGTATTGCTTCCAGTAAAGGAGTTTTGAATGCCACAGGGATTTGCGATTTACGCGCTACATCTAATGTGCAATTTAGCGAGAAACATGATGGTGGTCGTAGTTTTCTCTGAGAAGAACTTCCGAGCTTATATAAAGCTCTTAAAGTTGAGGCAGTTATGGAGGGAATCCCCAACACTACCCTCAGTTGCAGTTTGCGATCTCTCATCAATTTTATGAGAGAAAAAGTAAGTACTTTAATCAGAAATCTTAGTGGTGTGCATGGGCTCCATTGGCTTTAATTCAAAATATAATAAAAACTTTTTCCACGACACTCAATTTTTTGTAAGTCCTTATTTTTGGAGGCGAGTGGTCAACCAGCAGGATGGCTTTCAATCTGATAAATGCCAGATGGATAAATACTGAAAACATGATAAACATTTTTTTTTTTGGATTTTAAAATTTTTTTAACGTTCTGTATACAACTCCGAGAAACTATCTTAAGAGTATGGTATGGCATAATTTATTTAGAGACCTACCTATGTACAATATTAAAGCTTCTTAAGGGATCACTCACGTATTTTTGGATTTCCTTTTTGGAATAGAAAAACCTTGTTACTTAAAAAGGTACACTGTAATTTAGTTAAGCATTATGTAATAAAAATACAAATTTTGGCAGGGTTACGGAGGTATAATATTTTAATTGCAGGTTTGGGAGACTGACGGAAAGTTCAACGGTCTTAGACCAGAAAACCTATTTTTTCAAGTATAAGTAACAGAAAATGTAAAATAAGGAAAACAACTAAAATTTAATTATTATCAGCCATGCACAGTCTTTAAAATTCACGTAATTAGTTATCTCTACTGTTCCTTTGCAATTTTCAGTCGACTGCTCCACGCAAAAAACCTTGGGTTTGATAAAGACTGATTGCAATAACTTTTTCTAAAACAAATTTAGCAAATCTTTTTTCAGATAAAAATGAAGAACATCCGTTGCAAAATGGTTTTTGGATTTAAACAAGAGAAGAAAAAACTCGAGACTTCAAAACAATGGATAATACAAATGTACAAAAAAAAAAAAAAAAAAAAAAAAAAAAAAAAAATTACTGATAAAAAGAGAGACATGACAACTAACTTACAGCTAGATACCACAGTTGAAAAATTTAAACTTCTTTAAATTTTTCAATTTACTTTATGTCAAGATACAAACTTTGGGGGAACAGGTTGCCTGAATTCTAACATCTGTACTTAGAATCGAAAGAATTCATTGGATTCAGCAAATTAATGAAGAAACCTTTCGCAACAGAAAAAAAATTGAAGTTCTCATCATATCAAAAGTTATTTTACGTCATGAGCGACAGAGCAATGATAGAATGATGACTATTTGAACAAAAAATGAGAACAATGATTACAAATGCTGATTTCTTCTGGCGTAAACTTTAAATGGGCAAAAGCTAGCCGTGTTGAATCTTAAATGAGATTCAACATTTTAACGATAACCAAAATTTGGACATCATTACAAGTTCACTTACACTAATCAATAGCTAAGGAGCTTGCATGAACGTATGATACAGGGTTGCCACAGAATTTAGGAAATGACACCTTGACTTTCTCTCATTTCTTCTGACTTTTTAAACTCTCTGACATTCCCTGAGTGGTACTGAGGACGTCAGAAAGTGGAGCCGTCCAGAGGAATGACAATTCACACACAAGTGAGAGCTTTTTAATGTAGTTTACATGGTTTGTCTTGTGTGGTTCTACATAATTTCTTTATTTCCGAGTTTTCCAAATTTTCCTTGACTGCGGCAACCCTGATATTACTTACAAAATCAAAAAACTAATCAAGTTTTGATGATGACTTCTAATTTTCTACAGAAATTTTACAAATGAATTGGAGACTTGATTCCTGGAAATTAATTTTAAAAATAGACAAAAGACTGACTTCTGGAGTTCAATTACAAACTTATAGTCACTTCTTATAAATGTTTATACTTAAAAATCAACCTCTCACACTTTACACAGAACATGCAACTAAAATTTTAAAAACTTGAAAAATTATAAAAATTTTGGTTTATAAAAGTCTAAGGAACAGAAGAGAGCTATGGAAGATAAAATATAAAAACCGAGCATTTCACATGTTTTTACTGGAGTAGGTAATTGCGACTGTTGAACACTGATAAGGAGCAGGTGCACTAAACTCTGGAGCATTCTATGATGACTGAAAGTGATCATGCTTACAAGAAACGGTCTTCAACAGAGATAACTTATCTCTGAACCACGAAACTTGATCTTCAAAGATAAAATGAAAGAATTAAGTTAGATTTTTAAAATAAGTATTTTAAAGTACAAACCACCCCTACAATACAACAGTAAAAGTGAATTATAACTAGAAAAATGCCAAATCAAAAAAAAAAAAAAAAGGAAAAAAAAATGAAAAAGTACGCTTGATTCAAAAAGTAAAAACGGACAGCAAAGTTTTCGGAAGATTGTGCATGTCTGACAGATTCGAGATGAACTTTGTACACAAAGGTTGGTCACAGAGGCATGTGAAAAGGGCACGAAAAAGGGGAAGATACAAAAATGTTTCATACGATGAGAAATTGGAGGTAATAACAACGAAGGTTGAGTGAGTATCGTGTAGCAGTCAAGAATTTTTCAATTTCCCGTTGGGCTCTGTCCCTGCTATGCTGGAAATCGTAGAGTTGGCCGCCTGCTCGAGCCCTTTTTGTAGACAAACTTGGTAGCTTGGCTTCATCACCTGAAAAAGAGCAAGGAAAGAATATAGAAAATGGAGTTTGGCAAGGAAAATAGAGGATCTTGATTTTACATCGAGAATGTTAAATTGTCTTGCCATGTCACCTTTACATCCTAAGAATACTGCATTATTTTAGAAACAAACAAGCTGACAACTCCGGCTCTTGGGTGCCGAATAAGGAAGCGATTCAACTTTCCATCTAACAGTTTATCTATTAAATTTAATCAACCAGAGGCGAGTTGAATTATGGCAATGCTGTGAGAGCAAAAATTAATACATCTTAAATCAGCTAAGTTCTTTTTCGATTTTTCATTACCTCACAATCGAGTAATCGATTAATCGCCGTGTAAAACTTTGAAGGCGTATAGAAACTGTTTCTTCATTAATAATTACCTAAAAGTTAAATGAGGTGTGCTTAAAATGAGCCCGGATTTTGGAAAATTACTCATTTGAACTATTCTTTCGTCCAGAAGTATTTAAACAGAAACTGAACATTTGAAGTATGCTATAGATCGCAATATTTTTGCTTTGATCAAACGGGTGAACTATAGATCTTTAGAGTAGTGAATTGATCGGAAGAAGCGATCATGCTTACGTATTGAATCGCTTAAAATTGGATTGAGTTTATCAGAAAGGAACCAACCCAAATTTTCGGAAAAATTGAGTTAAGAATGTTTTTCAGTTCTACGTGTCATATATTTTCTACTGCCAAAAACTCAAAATCGAAAAAAAGAATAAGTTTGTGAAAAGAGGGGTTAAAGTTTATTTTCTACTTCGAGTCTTATGCAGGAATGAAACTTTAAACCTCTTTTTCTCAGTTTGAACTTAGAGTGGGTTGGTTCCATCTTGATAAACTCGGTCCAATTAAAGATACCCTTTTGGTTGGACTACTTCTAAAAGTCTCATTCTTTAATAAAAGAGTGCTCAAACTGAAAATCAAATTTTTTAAATTAAAATTTCCGAAGGATTTTTCATCCACCGACTTCAACACGTAAAAAGCTAGATAAGGTCGCTCCCAAGGTGATAAACAATTCAGAAAATTTCATAATGATCAAACAACTTTGTAGATTCTTCCATCCGTTGCTTCTTTTCAGACATTATTTGTAGGTTCAAACCATGGATCCACAGCAATTTTAACTCACTCTCATTTGCAATTTGTAGCAGTCAAGAGCATTTATAAGGAATAACGGTTGTCTTTAATGCGTCCATGTCATTGGGATTAGCAAGTTTAAAGTCTCCATGACAGGGTGTGCACTGGTTACATAAAGCCGTTGGTTGTTGCTACGAGTGGATGCTTGCCACGATACTGATAATTGATTAAGTTACACTACAGAAGTAACCTCTTTTGTTACAAATGGAGAATAACTTGTGCCATAGTAACTTGCCAGACAACATTTTTGGCGACATGATTAACATACACTTCAGAATGGCCTTAGATTCATTCTTCCCGCCTGAAGCCTAAGGAGGAATACGAAAAAAAAAAAAAAAAGAAAAAAAACCAACTGCTATGCCTTTTCTAAATTGATCAGTAGATTCCACATGATTAATCATCTTGAATTTTGAAAGAGGGGAAAGGATATTATCTTTGAGTACTTACATTATCCCAGACGACAGTTGCTGCATTGTCAATGTGTTCACCAACTTCTCTCATCTCTCCTCGGTACCTGTAAAAGGATAATGATAAAATGAGAAAAGATATGCTAATTTTGAGAAGAGGTTGAAAGAAATACTGATGATTCAGCTTGTAGAGGACAATTTGGAGTGGAGATTTCCTCTGCTGACTCTAGTGTGCCATTATTTTTATACTTTGCAGATTCTACTTCCAACTTCTTCTCATCGCACCTGCACCTCAGTTCTACAGTATTGCCACAGAATTTAAGGTGATTCGATGGACGCCATATTTTGTGTCAGAACGGCATACGATTTGTCGCATCAATTGGTTCCATTTTTTCAGCTACTCGTCATATTTCTCCTATTTTGAGATCGTAATTCTGTTGTCAGGAGACTAAAGCTCTCAATTACCAATTTTAACAAAGAAATTCAACGTAATAAAGGCGTGGTTTTTTTAGAGAGAAAATATCGCATTCGAGTGCAGTTTCGATATCAGTATCGAATGCGATATTTTCTCTCTAAAAAAACCACGCCTTTATTACATTGAATTTCTTTGTTAAAATTGGTAAGTCAGTGCTTTAGTCTCCTGACAACAGAATTGCGATCTCAAAATTGGAGAAAAATGACGAGTAGCTGAAAAAATGGAACGAATTGATGCGATATATCGCATGCGGTTCTGACACAAAATATGGTGTCCATTGAATCACTTTAAACAAAGAAATTCCCTCACATTACCCTAAAATCTCTGACACATTTCAGTAAAATTCCCTGATATTTAGGGATAAGCCAAATGGTTAAAAAGATATAATTAGAATTTTTTTAACACATGGTTTGTTGTTCAAAACGTTGAATCTATTTTAGAAAGTAGATATAGGTAGTTTAATAATGTATTCCTGACACTTCTATAATTTTTTCTTGCATTTCCAGCTTTTCCTTGACTTTCCAAAATTCTCGGACGATTACCGGTTTTCCCTAACCATGGCAACCCTGGTTCTCGACTGCTCTTACGGGTGAAAGTTCCGTGCCCGATATTGCCGTTAGCCGCAGGTGCGAGATATTTCAAAACCTACTACTTCTTGCAATCTGACGTTTTTGACTAAAAGCCAAAATTCCTATTTACCTCAAAGGAAAGTAACTCAAAAACCATGACTATAACCAATGTAAACTAAAAACAATAATATGATAGTTGGGAGTGAATTTCAGTACTTTTTGCTGCACGCGTCATGTTCTTTGTGAAATTTTTGTTGGGAAACATGTACCAGAGTGCTTAAATTCGCACCTTGTCCAGTCATCTATTCATCATGCTCTTCCTGAATCGATCTTCAAAAGAAGATTATTTTCTTTTGGAAAAAAAAAACTTATTACAGTGATTGAATTAGATATACCATGAGGAATTGATAGGTAAGGATTTTTTGGTTTGCTGACAAAATAATGGCTGGTGCACTGCGAAAAACTGTGATTATATTAATCAATGTCCAGCAAAAAAATTTCAGTTGACATAAACTATAAATATATTTGGGTAAAAATATCATACCTGACATATGACCAGACAATGAGAGTCAGCAAAGCGACACCCATTACCATGTTACATAAATTAGCTATATCATACATTCCGAGCAATCCCAAGACTCCAGAGACAATGTAGAAAAAGACAGCAATTGCGAAAAATACCGCTGGTGTTCGTGCAGCCTTGAAAATGTTTTTACTTTCGTTGTGAGATTTAAACTGATTGAAAAGTTCTTCTATATCCTGAAATAGAAAATATTTAAAATTCATCAAGAGAAATTATAGACTACCACGCACAACACTTTTGATATACATCATCATCAGATAATACCACATGTGATTTTGACTATTGCAACGAAAATTATGCAGATGAGAGAGAGGCCAGAAAATATGTCTTAATAAAATTGATGCATGCTCAGCTGAGTTCAATTTTGTTGGTAAACAAAATGCCTCTGTATAATATTTCACTGTCTTTAGTTCTTGCTCGAGTCTGCATCAAATAAGTTTTCCCAATTTTAGACTGCAACAAAAGATCGTCTGATGTCAGTTTGGCATGGAAAGTAAATGTAAGATTCAAGATCTTACATTACTTCCAATCTATCGTAGTCTAAAAGTGCATAAACTTACTTAGCGTGGACTCTAAAAAAGAGTAACAAGCTAGTTTCTTCAGCTTTCTGCAATAAATGTACATATACATTTTTGCTTAACATTGCAAAAGAAATGACAGAACTTTCCTCTCATAAGTTATTAAAATAGCACCATCTGTTTGATTATGAATAAATTTATTCATTCGAATATTAATTGGAAACTGGTTGAAAGTATGATGAAAGAGGACTAACAAACAGAAAGTTTTAGGTTAGAAATGTTTCTTTTCTTCGTTCTTCTTGGAGAGGCTTCATGGAAAGGGTATCCCGGGATAAGCATGTCAAAATGCCCTTGTGAACGGATTTTTATTTTAACTATTTTAAGTCATCAAGGGTGTCCTAAAACTTAGGTTTTGGGGAATTTTAGCCCCCCAACCCCCTCCGCCCCCCCTCAGACCCCCAAAAACCGCTTTTTGGGGCTATTTTTGACTATNCGCGCCTTATCAACACATTGTGTTGGAGTTCACTGCTTGTTTTTTTCTTCTTCTTTTTTTTTCTTTTTTTTTTGGCTTGTAGCTGTGGAATTAGCATTAATCTACATATTTTTATTAGAACAGCTATTCAATTAATTTTTCTATAAATTAAAGTACCATGCTGAGAAAAACAGGGTTTACTTACAGACTCTAGTTTAATTTTGTAAGATTGGGAGAACTCTTCACCTCCCATTTTCCTCTTGCAATTAAATTGCTCTAAGGCCTTATCTTTACACCTGAGATGTTCCGACTCTAAGTGAACAGCGCTAAGGTAAGGTTTGTTTCCGCCACAGATAGACTCCATAACTTTTTGGTATATCTCTTTTGCTGCAGCAACTGCCGATAAATTATTTGCTTCAGCCGTCGCCTGGAAAAATATAAATTATGACAAAAGCAATGGTTAAACTAGAATCCCAGAAACTTGTTTTTACAAAGAAGCAGAAAATCCTTAGCTTTGCCATTTATTGAATTGCCGTTTTCCTTCTAAGAACTCCTAATTTCTCAAGATTTGCTACAACCTTTTCTCTTTTGTACTCTTCACTTGCAAACAGCATATTTTTTTTGCAACCATTTTATTTTCGAAGCTCGTTTTTGCAGCCTTCTCATTTTTACACCTGACCATAGGAGACCCACAGGCTGTGCTAGTAGAGTTCCAGCACCCCTAATCATGAAAAAAATGCAGAGTCTGAGAGCCATAAACCAAAATTTGAGAACCACTGAGAGCCAAAATTTGAATTTGAGTCTGAATGGGTCTCCTTCAACATGATGCTGTTTCCGCGGTTGGTCTTGAATATTGAATGAAAACACGTATAAAATGGACTACAGAGGGAGTGAAAAGGCTGGATAGATACTCACGACAAGCATTGATTTGGGTTCAGGTAACTCATCTCCACTGAAAAGATTTATGTACGACTTGAAATACTGCACCAACTCTTTGGCCTTCACCCTCTGGCCACTAATTTCTTTGAGCAGTAGCTTTTCAGGTGACAGCAACATAGGTACCAAGCTGCAAAGATGTTTTTTGAATTCATCTTCAATATCTGGAAGCACACACAAAGAAGATACTTGATAAATGATAAGTTTTATAACCCTCTAATAGTAAAAACGCACTCAAGGCAGTACATCATTTTTTTTTAGAAAATTGCTTAGGTTCTTTTACTTTAATTCTGAGGAAAATTGGGAAAAAAAAAAAAAAAAAAAAAAAAAAAAAAAAAAAAAAAAAAAAAAAAAAAAAAAAAAAAAAAATGCCTTACCACAACCAAACAACAGTCCTTACAAAATCAGAGATAAAAAATAAAGAGAAGAAAGAAATAAGAGAAAACAACCTGAATTAGTTTAATTATCACAGATACACACTTCCAGTGTAGGGAGAATTAACTTAAGAGGTAGATTTTTCTCATGTAAGTGCAGAAATCCAATCCAATCCAATCCAACTACAATCACAAAGACTAATTAAAAATACTACACTGTTACTGCAGATTAAAAAAAAAAAAAAAAAAAAAAAAAAAAAAAAAAAAAAATTGATTATTACAAATTACCAACATTTAAACTGACCACTGTTTTCCTAGCCTCATGGTACTTCAACCACTGTGATGTGGTTCAACTGATGATACAGTAACTAACTCAACTACCTCTTATCATAACTAGAATTATAGATAGTAGTTTCAAATTTAAATCAAAATTTTTCTCCTAATGCATAAAATCTGGTAAGCTTGCTAAATAGGCTATAGGGGCTATTTTTTTGACGGATTTGGTGCGATACAGATCAGTTAGACTTGCATTGATAAGTTTGTAGATCTTTTTAAAATTCTGAGAAACATTTTTTTATACATTTCATGTGAGGAGGAGGAGGACACGTACTTAAACACTGGCAAAAATCTTTCCATTCATGATTAAATTAAGTTGCTATATTCTACAGGAGAATCCTATTATCCAGCATTTAGTACAATATAATAAAATACTTCTTCCTGAAACAAAGGAGGAGTTTTCGAGACTTATGTTAAGACATTTGATGGGTAGAAATATCATCCAACATGCCGCCTCCTTACCTGACAATCTCCCATCAAAATGAGGATTAGTGGCGACTTTTAATCCAGGATGAGGCATCAAGAAGCAGTGGATCTCTGAGAAACATGCTTTGATATGCTTCCTTAAGGCTTGCAATTCTGGGTGCTGTTTGTCTGATATCTGTAAAAACAAAACAAAAAAACAATCATTTATCAAAATTTGATTATGCTGTTTTACATTTCTGAAAAACTAGCAGGAGTGATACTTGCAATCAAATGGTTCTATAAAAACGGGAGTTAAATGAATTTTTGCTTTGCAGATCATAACTTGCCTTTATCTTCTCGGACAAGATCTTGTCGACTCATAAGTTTGGCACTTTTTTCTTTTTATTTCTGCTTATTGAAGTATATGATGCAAGAATAAACTTATGAAAGCCGAGTTTCAAATATAGTAACAGTATGCGTTGCTCACATAGTTCCTTTTGTGATAAAATGACTTCCTTGAGTAGAGGAGTGGGAAAATCCCAACAAGTAAGGTGTCTACTGGAACAGGCTAGCCAAAAATTAGTATGTTGACAGTGCTTTTTCAGTACATTCCCAAGAGATTCAGTACCTCCTCATCAGAAAAATTCAGTGCTATTTCAGTACCTCCATTTGACTGAGTTTGAAAAATTTTAAAAATTTGAATTTCTCGCTCAAATTGCGACAAAAATGACAAAAAATGGAAAAAATTCCAGACCTTCCTGCAGCATTTCCGCACTTCTGGACTGCCCTCAAAAAATCTGTACTATTTCAGGACTTTCTGGAAATTCCAGACTTGCAGACACCCTGAACAAGGAAATAAGCCGACAAGGAAAAAACATGGAACTATTTGATGGATAGGAGCATTGTTTTTATCATTAAAAGATCTTCTCATGGAACTCCGCTCGAATATCAAAAAGAAAAATTCTTACATAACTGGTGCGTTACTATTCTCGAGCTATGCTAATGGCAAGAGATATCTGATCAAGTCTAGACTAATAATCTGTCCTCTACTGTTCCGACAAAGGACTCTAAAAATAAAAAATAAAATACATACCTTCAGCCTTCGTTCTAAAATTTCCTCTCCACCAGCTGCTCCGTATTCTGCCTCATAGGGAAAACTCCAATCTCTGACTAAAAATTGTAACTTTTGAAACGGTTTCTTTCCTGTGTCAGCTAGAGCCAGTCTTCCATATTCAGTGAAGAGCTAAAAAAATATGATTACATGAATTAGAAAACACCAGAAGATATTAGGAATTGAAAAATTAATCAGAAAGGGGGAGATTGATTAATAATTTTAATTTATGCAGTGTTTTTATGACGGTGGACGCAAAAATCTCTTATGTACCGAATTTGAAAATTAATTTTGAGAAATAGATATTCCATGTTTTTGAAAATGAAGGTAAAATCAAACAAAACAAGTAGGATTTTTCTATTACTTTTTTTTTTCAAAGAAGTTAATTTAATTTTGCATGTCAACAAGGAAACACTCCTTTCCAAAATAGCGAAAGGGGATCTCACTTCACCATTAAAATTTTAAGTCTGAGACATCTTATTCAATAGTAATTCAGTTGTTTTTTCTCCTGTTTTAGGTGGATTATTCCCGGAGAAAAATTACTGATATTAGTGCGCATGATACCAACTTACATCTTCCCTCTCAAAATATGCCTCATGACTTCAAGGTACACTCTACTACAGGTATGGACAAACGGAGTGCCGAAGTGGCAGCACTGAGAAAATCGGCGATCGAGTGACGTATGAAGTTGTACCGTCCATTTGCTGCGCAGGTCTTCGCAGTCGTACTCTCGATGCTGTCAAATCTACGCTTTTGATGACTTTCTAAAATTCCATTTGTCCATACCTGTGGTAGAGTGTACCTTGTCATGACTTCATATTGACTCAAGTCCTTCTGGGCCATAGAGAGAGTGTTTTGTGAAGTAAAGGCAAAAATTGCAAAAACTAATATTGGATACACAATGAAGGAGGTTTTAAAAAAAAATCGACTATGAAGATAATTATCTTCATAAAGGGTTCCTAGAATGGGGATGATTTGGGCCGAGTTAACCAAAAACGCAAGAAGTCACATTAGTCTTGCAAATAACCAGTCGCAAATTTTCTCTAGTCAAAAATTTGACATCAGAAAAACATATTTTGAATGTGAAAATAGTGATTACACTTCGTCCTTGACATTGAGTCTTAGGAAGAAATAAAACATCAAGCTTCTTCCTCGGTTTAAATTTGGTGCAACTTGGTGCGTTTTGCTAAACTAGGCCCATTTGAAGGGTTCATCTTGACTTTCACTTATATTTCAATACTTTACATAACTTTATGAAATTAAACGATTTAAGTACCTGTAAGTGTTGGAGGTCATCCTCTTGTATATTTTGAGATAAATTATAGATTTGGATTGAACTAAGCATTGTGCTTAACGCAAAGACTGTGGCACAATCTCGGACAGTACTCTCACTATCGAAGGTTCCTTGAGTGTCCAAAAGAATGACAGCAATCTAGGGAAGAAAGGGGAAAAGCATAATAAGTGAGACAAATAAATAGTTAATTGAATTTTTCAGACAGGGCCCTAAATCATACTATTTGATTGCTTAGGCAGTCGTAACGGCAGTAGAATAGTCAAAGAGCCAATAAACAAACCGCCTACAAGGCCTATCAGGTTACGATGGGAATGTTACTTTAAAAACTTGTTACTCCAGCAGATTTGCTTGCGACAAAATAAAGTGAAGTCTGTTTCAGAAAACGTCTTCAAGTTTAATATTTGCCCATTTAAAGGTACCTCCTTGCGACAATCTTATGACAGACTGACAAAGGGCTCACAATTCAGTCTATGGTCATCAAATTGACACAACCGGCCAATCATAAAGCACCTTTCTGTATAAGCGTAGTCTTGTTTATCAGACAAACACATGAAGTCAATGAACAGCTTACAGAGCATGGAATTTTGCAGGGATCGAAAAGAAACCAGAAATCATATCCGTGCTAATTCTGAAGTCAGCATATTTGCCCGGTGCCTCCTATTTTTACAGATCGAGGCTTTACTTGTAGGCAAATTTTGCACAAAGTATGAGTAAAATTAGAATAATGGATCGTATTAAATGGTAAATGCCATAATGGAGCATGAACACTAACATTACTCATGAAATTTCTTGTTGGAATAAATATGGATTGAGCGAAACAAACCTTTTCTCCATTTTGCAGGGTGGTGATAAATACTTCAGACCACATTAAAATACCCGTTGTGTCCCTTTCTGAGCCTCCCCGCCAGGAAAATCCTTCAAGAGGTGTGTCTGAGGCTCCCATCCAATCGGACCCATAAACTGCCGCTTCTGATTCATACTGTAAAATAAAAAGGAACAAGATCAAACATACAACTAAATAACTCGGTAGAGAACTTCAGAGGAACTAAATTTATACCTAAATTACACAAAAATCAATAATTGGACCAAAGTAATGCAAAAATAGCTCAATGAAATTTCTTTCAGAAAAAAAAGGTTATAAAATGTAAAGATTTTCATTTCCCAGGAGACTGGAAAAAACAGAAAATACCTTTCAATTTCCAGATAAAAATATGGCAATGCACTTGTGCTTCAAGCCAAAATGGAAGAACTAAGAAAAATGTGTGCAGGTTGTCTACTAAAATTTAATTTTGGATATTCCTGATTTATTATGAGACTTTCTGATATTTTTCTGTTTTCTTCGAGTATTTTAAATGAGATGTCCTGATTTTTCGCAACGTTAAACTGACAATCGTTTGATTTGAAAAATCAAAATATTTGATGAATTGAATCAAATGTTTGCAAAATGCTTGAGACAGTCAGAATTTCCTGATATTTTCCGGGTTTTACTACTTGCAGACACCCTACTGTGTTCAAGTTTTTCACTAAAGCTATGATTTAGCAAATAATTAACTTTGATACAGATGATAAACACCGACCATAGATTATTTCCTTACTTTGTCAACATTGATCATAATACTTAAAAGGATTTTCAAAACTTTTAGAACTGATTGAAAACTTTATAATCATACTGACAATGGAAAAAATGCAGTTTTTTTGGTGGTAGTTACTGTTAAGTATAAATTACAAAAAAACCATCGTACTCACTGTGTATTTCATATATCGGAGGAAAAAGTCTAGGAGAAACGATTTGCCTTTCCTAAAAGCACCAGCAACGGAGACAACAGCAACGCTGCAGTCTTTGATTTCCTCTGAAAGGAGGATCTCCTCCAAAGCGGATTCATTCAGGTTAAATTTGTGATTCGCTTCAGATGTGACAATTTGAACCGCGTGGCCCCTCATGATTTTATTGAAGGTGTCTGATTTCACATCTGAAATAAAAAAAATATGTAGAATAAATAAATAAGATAAAATGAAAAGACAATATAAGAACAAAGAGGGAGGAATATAGAATAAAAACTAACGCTGTTTGATTGAAAAATATAGTTTCCCTCATTCTGACCAAGGCAGCATCTGAGGCCAGATCATGTTGTGAGAGGACGACTCGTCCATAAGCGCCTAGATTAGGGGATACATTAGTCGAAAAGCAAATTGTAGAAAAACTGTGATAAGTATGGTATAGAAGATGCAGGTCGACAAAAAGCCGGGAGTGCTTGCAAAGAATGAAAGAAAAAAAGTGTGGCGACAAAATTTCTCAAAGTTAGAGCTGATGACAGAGCCTTCTGTTCACAGGGTTCCTGAAGTTTCTTTGAGAATTTTTCTGTTGGAAGAACAGCACTTCGGTCGTGGGCACGGGGTGCTCTGTCCTCATTACGGAAACTTTCGTACCTGTTACAAAGAAAGCGCAGGAGCCCTGAGAACCGAACTATTTTTCTTTAGTGTAATTCGTTCAATTATTAAAATTTTGAGAGATTTCCATGTTTCTACCCTTTCTTTCTACATACTACGTCTACCCTAGGAACCATGCACTTAGCTTTTCGACTTAAATGTCGACACTGAATTACCTATAGGTACAAACAAAATTAAAAAAAAAAAAAAAAAAAAAAAAAAA